ATATATATATATATATATATATATATCCATGTGTATGTACAGTCTGAGTATGGTTGCGCCCCCCGTAGCATCGACGCTGAGTGGTGCAGCAGCAGCACGGAATTTGCTGCTACGCTGAAAATCCGCTCCTCACAATATGACAAAAATTGCGTACACTAGCACCACGAGGATCCTCAAGTATCATCTTCCTATGGACCAGGCAAGGCTAAGACGCTTGATCCCCAGCTCTACGTTGCTGGTCTTGTAAGTAGTTTTTCTTGCTTGCTGCAGGCTGCTTGCAAAGGTCGGCATAAGCATTCAGCACGCATGTCTGCAGTGTTATCAATCCATGCAGCTAAAGGGGGCTTGGGGTCTCGGCTGTAACGTCAGCGATATTATCCGAGGACTGCCTTCTGCTGCTTCGGGCCAAAGGGATTGAAAGAAAGATTTTTATGATGCAGCTGATAACGGCATCGCCCTTCCCCAGATGTTCTGTGCACAGAAGCTCAAGGGAGCATGTGTTACTATAGCCTCAACATTAGGAGCTGAAGAGGCGTAAAGTAAATTGCTTTAGGATACCACCCGTATTAGTCACAGCAGCTCCTACTGCTTCACCCTCGAGCCATCGTAAGGGGGCGTATGACCTTGAACACTATTTTGTTGTAGGGCAGGCTGTAGAAGACGGTGGTAATGCAGTATTTAGTAAGAGAGCAGAACGCTGCAGGGGCCTTCTGTTCCTGGGGAGGCGGCGCAGGACGGAGGTGTTCTGATGTTATGTTTGTTCCCTGACAGTTTTGTTCCTTGCAGCTTCTGTTTGGTACTATTTTTTCTATTTGAACAGACTTTCAGTGGCGGCTTCACCTCCCACCACCCATCCCAACCGACAGACAAGGAATTAAATCATTATTACAGCAGCATTGCGATGAAATAGGTAAAATACAGTGCTGGCCTGTGCACCTGGTCAGAAGCGCTTTTCACATTTTATCTGGTTGGAGCCCTTCCTTGGCTGCAACACAAATCGTGCGAAGCTGCCGCTGCATCTGACGCCCAGTAACCATTTTGCTTTAACTTCTGTTAAATTCGAATGAAACCGAAGTACAACTAGCGGGTCCAGTGACGCCGCTGAGGGCGGTGGGCCAAACCGCTTCTGCTTTGGTGCTTTTGTCTGAATCTGCTGTCTGGTCATCCTTTTATTCTTCAGTAGAAGCAAGGCAGTTGCAGAACAGCCTGCTGCAATGCTTGCTTTTGCCTTTTGCTTATCTGTGTTCAACAGCAGACTTGCATATCTCATTTGTCTACGCTGCTATACAGTCTGGGTTTCACTGCACTAGGAGACGTCCCCAGTCGATGATATAATACGCAAATGCCGCAAATTAATTAATTAAAGTGCCTTTATCAAGTAGCTATCTTCAGAATCAATTAATTAATACCTTCGGAATGAATATTTCAGAGACGCAAAACGTTGCACCTAGCTTAACTGTGCTCGCTGCACCTACTTATACAAATAGACACGTCGCGGAACATGTCTAATCGCTCTTCTCTCTTGTGCACTGCGGGATATCCACGTGGTGTATTGCCTTCGTTTTTAAGACCACCCGTGCGGGCGAACGCGAATTGCATGCACTCAAACGGCAGTCCCCTCTCTGCCTGGTTTCCAAAACATCCAAAAAGCCTTGCAACGGATTCAAAGGTGATGTGTTCGTGTGTCGGGTCTACAAAAGGCAACACAGAACTCAGTCGCCTCCATGCGAGCCTAATGTATGCATGCAGAAGCACTTGCTCATACACAGAGCATTGCAGCACCTGCCCTGAAAGGAAGCAGGCACCAGCTGTAGTTCTTTCAGAGTTTAAATGCAATGACACATAATAACGGCCGCATGCGTCTATCTGCAGCCGACAACGGAAACCCATGCACACAAATGCATGCAAAAAGGAGGCTTGAATGCATCGCCCCCCACACTGAACTTCCTAAAAGGCAATTCGCTGCTGGAAGCTGCACCGCACCAGATCCGTCACTGAGTGCGTTCGCCCGTTGCTTCCAACATATATATATGTATCAACATATTCTCTTCACAGCAGACAAACAGCAATATCTCCAGGGGACCACCAGTTGTGCCTGTGAGGCGGCCTCTGATCTGTCAATGCCACCATCCCTCCCTTTCTGCTTTGTTCACATCATGTGTTGCACATCAGCGGAACCTCTCTACTTGCCCCCCCACAGATGGGGAGGCATTCAGCAACTTCGTTCTGAAGCGTGCATGCACTACTGCACACAGTCAAGCAAGCATGCATGCATACACGCATGCACGAAGGACGTATCCAAAAAAAAACAAAGGATGCAAAGGACTCCACGACAGTGAAGCTCGACGCTGCCTTGATGTGCTTGGCTTATCCCTCTCTGAGCGTTCTCTCATGCAATAAGTACAACAGCCGAAAAGGTAAGATAGGTGGCTGCGTCCTCAGTTGTGCATGCGCAAATGCGTATGCTTCAAGTATATAGATGCTTGCATTCAAAAACCCACGCACGCAACATACGTTTTGCCGGTACGTATCAGCAGAGGGCCAAACAAACAAACCAGACGCATGCATCTGCTGGGAGTGCAGGGGCAACAAGAAGAAATTTTTCAAAGAACTCATCGGTCGTCGTTGACCTGGAAGTCCGCCTCCTCCTCATCCTCATCTGAAGAAAATGCCAGACATAAATGGTGTTTGGAAACGATTCTGGTGCTGACTGTTTATTTGGTGCATTTCTTCTTTCAAAAAAGGATGAACTTCAGTGTCCTGAAGCAAAACTTTTCTCGTTCCTAACGCAAAGCAATCGCTAAGGAGGGCGAAGGGCCGATAATCCTTGCATCTACTGAGAAATCCACGATGCGATGTGTGTTCATTTCAGTGACAGCTGCATGCATGCACGCGCGCATGCGTTGGTGCGTACCTTCCCTATCTACTCTTTTCGGGTATGATGAACCTTGTACGGCCTCCAGTTGCCTGGTGAGGTATTCATTTGCCGTCCTGAGGCCTTCGATTTCCTTCTCAACTGTCTCGAGTCGTTTCATCAGCGCATCCACCTTTCGAATGGCTCTGCCTACACCTTCGCTTTGGGAATCGAAGCTGAGGTTGATGACTTCACTCATGCTTTCTACTTGGTTGCGGAGTGCAGCGAAACTGACGTAAGTAATAAGCGGTGACATGCGATATACGTCAGAAGATACAGGACCCACTCCTGTCTCAGGGTCATGAGCACCGAAAGAAAAAACAGTTCGAGTCGGAGATATCAACACCAAGTGCGTCAAACAGGTCGAGGACTTCATGCCGCACAACTCCACACTAAACCAACAGTTCGCCTGCAAGTCGTACGTGTGCATGTCTGAACCAGCCCAAACACAAAAGATACAAACGTACGCACACACACACGCACACACACACATGCACACACGCACACACGCGCGCATACCCACCCACCCGCACTCACTCACGCCCGGACACACCCATACAATTTACACCGCCTCGCCCCCCGCCCACCCCGCCACACACACACACACACGATGTAACAGCACTAATGCAGCTCGGTAGTTCCCCCATGCAAGCCCCGTCTCTCCTGTCCAACGCCTTTTGAGCAATGAACAACGCACCACGACACGCCACATCTGCAACCAAACATTCTGCCGGGGTGTGGTCAGCACTACAGAGGTAATTTTGTCAAGAATGCCGCATTCCTTCACCTCCTTTTCCGGAGGACGCAAGAGACAAGGAGGACAAACGCACCTGAAAGGACGTAATTCGAAAGCCAGCCGCCGCTGTAACCGCCGCTGATGATGACCCAATTCGAGTCGAAGACACAGGAGCTGTGCCTGCGTCGATGCACCAAAAGAAATCAACAAATAGGCTGAGAGAGAAGCAGAAACAACACCAAGCTGCACACACCGCCCCAACATTTATCATGAAAATACACACAAATCAATAAGTGTCCTACCCGAAACGCGGAGTCGGTGCATTTCCCGCATATGTGGTGACGTGCTTCCATTTGTTTGTTTTCAGAGAATATATCCAAACATCATTAGAAGATCCTCCTCGACCTAATAACAGTTATGCATAAAACAGAAAAGAAAATCCTTTCACCTCAGCTATTTTCCGTTATCGTTGATGTGCTCTTTCGAATACATGCACCAGCGACAGATCTGATCTGCATGTGGGAGAGCAGAGCCAAGAATGAGGTCATTAAATGAAGTTAAACCTGTGTTCTTTCTTCTTAAGGGGAAAGATCAGCTACCTGTGGTATCGCCCCCGAAGAAGAACACGCAGGGCTCCTTGTGTTTCTTGTGCACCCACGCAGAAGCAGAGTGGCCGCAGCGCGCAGGCATCGGTTCTGTTGATTTATCGTAGCGAACTTGAGACCATTCCTCTCCGTCCCACATCCACATATCATCGAGCACTGTGTCGCCACTCATCCCTTTTATCAACACACATGATGCACAAACAACCCTATCTATAACAGTCAAAACACGCCATCATGATCGACGAATCAGGGGAACAAATACCGGGAAGCAAACAGAAAACAAGCTGGCGGTAATGGCACACGCAGCCACATCGCTCAAGTCTTTTCCAGCTACGCTGCCAATCCAGTTCCTGTACCTTGTATTGTATAGAGCATATATATAATATATATTTAAGGCGCATTATGCATGCGTATATGTGCAAATATATGCATATATATACCCGTCGAGGCAAGAAAGAAGAGCTAGTGTAAATATTTATTATGCATGTAGCTAGCGCATAAGTTAGTCCGGCTCACCGCCATGGACGAAAACTTTTTCAAAAACAACTGAGGCATGGCAGCTCCTTTTAGGGGGTTTCTTCACTCCCCCAACAGGTATCCACGTCCGCGCCCCAGGGTCATACAAACTCGCAGTGGCGAGATCTCCTCCTGGGCCTCTCCCTCCAAACAAAAATATGTGTTCTCTGTCTGGCAAAAACAACGGACAAAACACTTTGAAAACGCGTGTGTCATGTTCAGCGTCTGTTCAGCATACACCCCATCTCCTGGTTGTTACGCGTTCTCTCCGCCTCCTCTTAAAGCAGAGCCAACGTCACCACGCAGCTGCTACACAGACAGCTAGGCTGATGAAATACACAGAAGCAGAAAGTGAAGACAAACCAACCAAAGAGCAAGTGTTCTGCACGACTGAGAAAAAGGCAAGAGGCGCACTTGTCGTCGGCTTCACCCAATTCACCATCGTCGCGCCGGTCCTAGGAGTGGGAATTTGGCCTCGCACTTTCTGACGGGAGCAGCAGCAGCAGCAACGCATGCATGCACACAGCAGTAGCAGCAGTGCATGCATGCAAGTAGCAGCAACAACAACGCACTCGTGCGGGAAGCAACAGCAGCACCTCGCGCATGAGCCCAGCAGCAGCGCACGAATGTATCTATGCAGCAAGAACGGGCTATGGCGCACACACAGACACAGAGTACTTCTCAAGTGACTCTACGTCGCACTACCAACAATCACACATATCCTGATTGCCCTATTAAATGGCAAGCAAATAGCCAAGAACGAGAATGAACGGAACGCGAATTAATGATGAATCATGGAGGAACAACTCTCGGCCTCTGAACGTCCAGAAAAAACATAAGAAGCCCTAGCGAGAAAAGGAAGAGGCCACGGGGGAAAGCCTAAAGCACCTGTCGTAGGAACACACCCGGGCATACATACTCGTAAGCGCCTGAGCGTGCACGCCTGTTTCTCCTGAGCCTTCATATATATTTACAGAAAAACCTATATATTACGCATGCACTATATTATATACACAGGCAAACCGACAGATATACTTCACTACTGCACCCAAAAACCTATACAAGAATATACACTCGTGTGCATACCTTCATTGGCTCAAATGCGTTTAGTCCCGGAATGTATCTGATGAAGTCATTTAGGAATTGTCCGTCTGCATCCTGTCCGCCGAAGATGAGGACATCTCCTCCTCCTGCTACACAAGAGTGCCCTTGCCTTGGTAAGAAGCAGTGGCTGTCGTGTATAATTTGAGTGAGCTGAAAAGAAGGAGGAGAGAAGAAAGCCGTGTTGGGGCCTGTGCCTTCCGTGGCTTCGTCTTCATCTCCCTCAACGCGCCGCGGCTGGGCCTTGGGCTTCTTCGTTGCGCTTAGAGAATGTATTATTTTATCTCGCCCCAGTTTCAGGTGCTGCTTCGCCTTCTGCATGCGCTCGGTTGATTTGCTGTTGCTGCCGCGACGCTCTCCACCCTCGACAGAACGAGGCGTATCTTCGCGGCTGTCAACAGAAAATGAATCGGAGGGGTCCCTTGAGGGCCCCGTCTCTTCCCTCTGCTCCATAAATACTATTTAAGCTGCAGACCCTATTTAAATGGTGAGCGGGGCGAGACAGCCCAATGAGCCAACAAGAAAGACGCAAGTCAAAACACGGACTCAGGTACTACATAAAAAACTTAAGACAGGCAGAAAACAGACAATGCGAAACAAAAACGCGCGGAACAGACAAATACACGAAAATCTGGCCTTTTAGTCAGATAAAGAATAATTCAGCAACCACAGAAAAGCTGAACTCCCCACAAAATAAAGCCAATATATGACAGTCTTCAACTAAAAAAGGAAGAAATCGTAGGAAAGTCAGAGCAACCAGGGAAAGATGGTATCCATTGAAGACCCTGTGCTACTGAATGAGCAGCAGGAGAACTCGAAGCCAGCACGGGACTACTAGAGTTGCTGCCGCTGCACCTCTTGGCGCTTCTTCCCTATTGCTGCTGCTTGTGCCGACGGTGTTAGTGCTTGAAAGACCATCGAACACGACGCAGCAAACCACATGCTGGCCGGAGTCCCCTGCAAGCTTTCAGCTGCAGAAATGTCTGCAATAGTGAAAGCGAACCAATCGTTCAAAGCTGCTTGACCAAATGACGACAGTGTGTAGAGGTACGCCTGGGGCTGCCCACGCTGCTGCTGCTCTTGCTGGTGGTGCTGCTGCTTCTCCTTCTTCCTATACTACTGTTTCAGCGTTTTCTTCCCCTTCCTCTTCTCTTGCGTCTTCTGTCGCCGATGTTGCTGCTGATGTTCCTGCTACTGCTGATGCTGCAGTCGCTATAATGGCTATGCAGGAGAATGGGCGAGCGTGGAGGCGAAACGACCGTTATCCCTTAGAGGAATGCTGTTGTCAATGAAGTAAGCATGATCATGGGAGTCCCAACGTCACTTTCAGTTTAGCGTGTGCATGCAGTTGAAGCTGGTAGCAGCGTAACCTGGTGCTGCGGCTGCAGCAGCTGCCACAGCGGTGCGTTTTGTACGAAATATTGGCTGAAGTGATCTGCAAATGAAAGGCTTCTGGCCGTGCGTAAGGGGCTAGTAGATGCCGATGAGACCAAAACGGCTGCAGCCTTCTTCCGGGGAGATTCTTGGATGGATGATGGTGTAATGAACGATGGAGTGCTGCGGCGTTGCTCTTGAACAGCACGCAGTTGTTGACTGCGGCTTAACAGGCTGTCTAGAAGTGGGTGATTTTCAATATTGATAAGTGTTGTTCAAAGAGGTGCTCCTTTTCTGCGTGTTGCAGTGGGAGCTACCGCGGAGTGCTGGGGTTTGAACATGAAGCTTCTGCGCGTTTGCCTGTGATTTCATGGGCTCAGTTGAGGTGAAACCGAAAAGGTAGCCCCTGTGAAAAATTCAAAAAACAGATGTTGCCCGCTGAAACGCGCAAAGGCCGTCGCGTCATGCGTGACGGACGAACCAGGCCCGGCGGGCCTCTACAAGGCGCCTGCCTCAGTGCATGCAGAGAAACGAAAAGGAAGGATCTGCAAATGCCCGTTCGGGATATTTTCGCCTATTCTTGTTTGCTAGAAGCATTTAAGCTAGAGTTAAAGTGAAGAGGGAAGCTCTGGGGTGCCCTCAGACTCACGCCTGCAACTGCTGCATGGCGAGCTCCGGTCACGACACCACTTGTAAGAAGCCTACGGGGCGCAGATTTCATGTATTTGAAACGTGTTATAAAGGTCTTTCATGTTCTTTAGTCTTGTAGAAGCTTTTGCAGCGATTGTTTCACTCAAGTGTTCAGTGTTCGCATCTCGTGGACAGCAGGCCACCGAGCGGAAGGCCAGTTGAGGCGAAGGTGCACATCCACTGAAAGTTGCATAACTTTGCCCACCTGTCCACTATTTCCTCTTTACGAATGTGGGACGCGTTTCCTCTGTGCCCTAACGGTCCTCCTACATTTTGTGTGCCTTCAAGCAGTGGCCATTATCGTGCCACGGGCCCGGCAACCGCGCGCAAGATTGCCATCAAAATAAGCGTGAAGGCTGAAAAAATGATACTGCGAAGGGACGCAGATAAAGGTGAACGGCAGAGTATGTGTGTATTTTACGGAGTTCAACCTGAATCCGCCTTCACTAGTCAGCAATGTGCCTGGCCGTGCTGACCGCACCGAAACGCACACGAGAGGAAAGCAGGCAAGTAAAGGGTAGATTGGAGTACGTTAAAGGGTAGATTGGAGTACGTCATGTTCATATATCAGCTAAGCATCAACTTGTTGCCACAAAGAGCATTTTCCGCAAGCGCGATGGGAATGCATATGTAGTTTGCATGGCGTCCTTCTAGTTATAACTTTACGATTTGCCGGCACAGCCAGCAAAGCGAAACAAACCATAAAGAGGAGAGGAAAATCATCCTGATAAGGGTCCTACATACGCACTCACTTACGTTTTAGGAGTTGGAGAATATTTCATGGACAAGCTTAATGTGTTTCATTCATGAGTGTGCTACCGGTAACAAGCACAACTTTAGAAGAGACTGCAGCTTGAGGCAATCTAGATATCCCTACCCTGTGGAAATGCGTATTCTATTTCCTTTCTGTTGTTACCTTGTACTACTCTTATCAGATGCAAGCAGCTGCTTTGCTTTCATCCCCCCATGGCTCCCTAACTGGCCTAAATGCTCGTTGGGGAATGAGATAGTGAACAGAATAGCACACAAGGGCAGCTGTCTTCTACAGTAGTTCACTGGGAAAAGCAAAGTGGTTTTTCCTGAACTCGGCTTCACTATCCGGGTAGTATCATAACACGAAGCAGAACCTGTGGATATGCAAGTGCAGACTAGGGTTATTCGGGTCTACTAAACAGGGACCCGAATCTAAAAAAGTTACGCATGAAAAATAGGGTCCATGGTTCGTTTACTGAAACAACGGCTGCAAATGTATATTGTGAATAAGCATTCACAGTGTCTGACATCCACTCCAGTCGCCGTTAGCTGCACTTGAACGCACGCAAGGCCTTCCTTCACATTACGATATTCACTGCCTCCGCTGCATGGGGGGAGTCTTGAATGGCTGCTGGACATCTTGGTAAGTGTTTCAGGATCATGTGGTTATTCTCTGCCGATATGAATTTAGGCAGTGCATTATCAACGTGCGCCGATGCAATTTCATCACCAAACTTTCCAGGTTTCCTCCCAACAATGAAAGATCCTTGTACTTCCTCTGGATTTGCATCAAAGGCAGCAAAGACAGCCTCTGCGGCGCCTTCGGCAGCTGAGAATGGGGCCCTGTTCCTTCCAGGCAACGTTCGGCACCAGCCTGCCCAGAAATAAACAGATAAGCGCCCATGAATAGTCTCACCTCTACGAACAGCTAAGAAAAGGCAGAACACGCCTTTTCTCTTGAATTTAGACTGCGATAGGCTCTCCTTTTCCCGAAACTGCCTGCTGCAGCAGACTGGGACTTGCGCTTTATGCAACTTTGGCTAAGAGAGTAAAATGCTCCACAAAAAACGGTGGATGTTCGTCGTCGCCTCACCCGGAGAGAATGAACAAACTGTAACACATGATTTTGGGTCCGATGAACTCATCTTTAGCTTATTTCCGATGCACTGCGCTAGTGCAATTCTAGCGGCCTGTGCAGCTCACAGAAAAGCAGCACCTATAGTATGTTTGCCTTTACTAGCTTAGTAGAGACTGAAGCGGAGAAGGAGGCGATACGTGAAACGCAGCATATGAAGGGCGATGTGCACGGTGAGGCCTTACTTGAGCAAACGGGTAAGCCAAGGCATCATAAACGCGTCTGCCCCTTGCGCCTTCATCGCCTAGCTCCTCAAAGAAACTGTTGGCAACGCTGTCGAGGTCCTGCATTCATGCAGGCCCATGGCATATTTTGCACACAGGGAATAAACGGAACACAGAACACGAAAATAGCTGCTAAAATATGGTGAGAATTTGCGTCAAAAGGAATTACAGATACAGTGAAAAGCAGTTTACTTTCTCAGTTGAAGCTGCACTGAACAATTTGGTGAAGGCTTCCTCGTTCATCCACCGAATTGCAAGTTCTGCAAGACTGGAGGCAACAATCACGACGCGGCCCCCTGGAGCCATAAGGGGCATCAAGGCGAGCGTTGCCTGAGAACACGTGAGCCAAATAGAGATCATACACCATGAATCAAGGTACTTCTCTCTCTCTATATATATATATATAATATACATATATATATATGTATATATACATATGTATATAGTGCAAACCGCCTATTGCGTATTAGATTGTTGGATGTGAGCTTCTCGCGACTTTTCCACAGTGCGTGCATTAGCGTCTTCTAGTGCTCACAAGTTTGGTTTCGTAGTAATCCTCTTTCATGAGGTAGTATGCAGTGTCTTTGCAACCCAACTCAAAGGTCGAAGGCAGAATGCCTAAAAAGCACGCAGCCACAACTGTACCCGATTAGCGTGTGCTTATGCGAAATGCCATGCACGTAATATGGGGTGAAGTACTAGGAATAGGAAGTCTGCATAGAGGAATTTTGGCTTTGGATCGCAGGGCCTCGTTCTCTGTATTTTACGAAATGCGATGACGCAAAACTCCAGTGACGCAGCAGCAGATGTGGACCAGGAATGAGCCGCTTTTGGCTACCTGCATTATTTATCAAAATATCCACGCTCTCAAATTGCTCTTTAAGGTTCTGTAGGAAAGTCCTGACGCTCTCGTTGCAGGACGCATCCAGCTGGTGATAACCTACGCGGACTGTCGGGTGTCGTAGGCGCCCCAAAGTTAGCTGAAGAGAGAAACAAAGTGATACAAGCACTTTCCAGGCGTTAATAAAAGATCTGCACAGCTCATCTTAGGGTAGCAAGGAGCTTTCAGCTGTCATGTAGTGAAGCTGCAGCCCGCGGGTGACCCTCGCCCACGGAGCATTGCACGCATAAAGTTTGATCATTCACTGCTTACTACACCATTTTCCTCGTCTTTGGTAGTCGTAATGAGGGTATGGGGGCCGTGGGATTTAATTGTTGACAGGCGATCGCATACAGCTTGTACAATTTCCATCCCGAGACCACTGGTGCAGCCCATCAATACGACAACGAGTCCCTTTCTCCTGATCTTCTTAAGTTCTTCTCGCTGTTGAAGGATAAATTTCAATGCCACCCAAGCCCACTTGGCGCTAATTAGGAAAGCCATTGTGGAAGCCGGCACCTTAACGCCTTAATGCGCGAGTAAGAGACCGAGCCCACCGACGACGGTCTCGTGGTACAAGACGCACGAAGACGCCCACTGAAAAGGATTAACTGAATGATTTAATAACTTAATGGGACTGTAAATAAAGCAAGAAGGGATGGCGTTATTCTGCCAAACTGAGTTCCCTGGTTCTAGGCTTGCGGCGTTGTGCTGGCCTGGGCACAGAAGGCAAAGGTGTCGTCGGTGATCACGTGGACTTGGCGCTATAGCCCCACTTGCCCCTCTCAGGATTTTAGTTCTCATTTATAATTTTCTTTCCATCTCGTTCGTGGGTGGGGCTAAACGATTGCGCTTTACCGGACGCCAGAAGGACGCGTGGCGTCTAGCGATGGAGAGCCGAGCAGTGGAGTCCTAGTTCAAAAAGACTTCGTACTCCAACTGATTCGCCTAGTATATGAATGAGCCCTCCTTGTTCATCAAAGATGACCACGTGTATTTCTCAAAAATGGTGCACTGCAACAGCAACAACCCGTGCCTTGTCCCTGCGACGGTGTGGCTGGTGTGCCTCGATATTAACTCCCTACAAACTCAGGCTGGCGGAGTTGCCCTATCTGAATAAAATGAAAATGCCCGCCTAAGCCTATCCATTTTTGACATTTCATTCCTAGAGAAAGAGGAAACACTCATATTATTCACGCGCATAGAGCACCAAAATAGAGCAGCTTTGCACCAAGTGTTATTATTGCCCTGCGCTCTAAGTGTCAAACTCGAAATTTTGCACCCTTACATGGAAAACATGCACTAGCTAGTGAAACTTGAGAATCCAAGTACTTTACATCCAAGTAGCCTCAACAGCAAATCAGCCACAGAGCAAGGTTCGTTATCTGTGCACAGCTCAGGGCCTTCATCGTGCAGCAGTGGTACTCAGAGCAGTACATTCCCAGCTGAAGAATCTGTCGTACAGTGAGGCATCCTTCGCGTAATAACTAGACTCCCCTTGTTCAGGAAAGAGAGCTACTTGCATTCATCGAAAACGGTGCACTGCAATTACAACGTATCTGCTACTGCTCTGCACGGACTGATAGGAGTCTAGGCTGGCACGCAGCCTATTGTTTGCAATGCCCTATTCCCTTAAGAGGCGCCTCTTCATCAGCATGAGCTGCGAAAGGAGAATGAGCAGAACGGCCTTTACGACCGAGGGTGAGAGGTCGCCAGACAGACGGAAGCCGCCGCGGTTCGTGAGTAGAGTCGGTCAGTACGAAACACTACCCGCCCGTTCATAGGCTGGCCTTGTCTAGAAGTTGAAGGAGCTCCTGCAGTTGCATTCTGCGTCGAAACAACAGCACAGAAGTAAGCAGCTAAGATTCCCTGCCTCTACTGAGCGTCGTCCAGCTGCCCGTATCAACACAAAAGCAAACAGCCGCTGTGGGGTTGTTGTTGCTACGAGTGAACACGTGAGGCTCTGCTTTCTACGGACTTGTTCGCGCGGATAGCAACAGCATCTTGGCCATTCTTCTTCGTCAACACGGCGGCCCCATGGCTGGTGACTTCCACAAGAAGCTCCTTGATCTTCAGCTTGCTCAAAGAGAGGGAAACTTCACTTGCATCCGTCCCAAGGTCAGCGAGACTGACTAGTGGCGACTCCTTTCTGAACCAACGCAGCGCGCAGGCAGTTGCAGAATCACAATGCAGCAGTGTCAACGAGAAGCATGCCTCCAAAAGAGGAAAATTACCCCTGAAGATTTCTACATAAAGCGTTTACTGAGATAAAACCAAAGAGTTCTCGCCCATTAATGCCCCCTAGACCCCTTTCCAATAAGGATCACACCTCTCGATCTGCGCCAGTTGCATTTCAGCAATGCAACGGAGAAGGCGCTTGTGGTTGGTTGTCAGCCCCCGCATCACCACTTCAAAGTTGACGCTGCTGCCGCTTCCGTTGCCGCTCTGAACCCTGCTGGCTGCCCACAACCAGCCCGGGACAAAGCCGCACATGGATCCCCACTCGCTGAGCACCTCCTCACTGCAAGTATGCGAACATTAGCAGCAAAGGGTGCAGAAGAAACACACGCAACACATTCGTAACCATCCCTCGTAGCCGCTTGTTACTGCAGCCGACTGTTGTAGCAAGCGTTGTCGCCACTCCTATATCTGCGAATTCTAAAGAAAGTTACTTATGCAAGCCCACATCCTCCACTGTGCACAGTGACTAAGGCCTTGGCTAAGAGCTGAACACCTGAAGCAAGATAATAAAAACACGCGTCAGAAACCTTCACGTGGGGCTGCATGCACGTCATACCGATAGTCACGCCGCGTGTGGGCTGTCTCGAAGACAAAACGGAAATCGCGCAACTCCGCCGCATCCACAAGAACTGCATGCAGAAGATGGTCAGCGCTGCAGATGAGGCGGATCTGCAACACCGCAAAGAAAGTACACGTAAAAGACTGATGAAGGGATTGCAACGAATTGAACAGCACTCAAAGAAGAAAGCAAGGCAAAACCCAAAAAAGCAGTAAACGCAGCATATGCCACTTGCCTTGTCACAAGATGCGAGAGCCGCGAGGTGGCGGCGACCATCCGTTAGGGCTGAGCTGTCGAAGCCAATAACGACGAGATAAAGAGGGTGAGAACACTGCCTTAGCAGCGCCTTCAGCTCCTGCAGCCCAGCATCCGCGCAACCACTCCGGCAAGACCACACGATACACTGCTCACGTAAGCAGTTGAACGGGGTAGGAGGAGCTTTTTTAGAGGATCTGTAGTATATCTCACTTTAACAAGCCTCTCGCAAGAGGCGCTGCTGCTGCCTGCAGGATGAGCAGGAGCAATGGTAGCAGCGGCTGCTGCGGTGTATTTCGTCTGCGTTCGGAGGTGGCCGCGGACGACTTGCACAGCGGCTTGAAGTGCCTGATGAAGTTTAAATTCACGCTGATATGCGTTAAGAACGCAGCAAAAGCCATCACTGCATCGCAACAGCCACAGAGCACAGCCTACATCCAGTCTGCAGGCTCGCGGGACTTCCCTGATGGCAACGAGTGCGGCAAATAGCGAAGAAAGAACGTCTCGTCTGCATGCACATGCATGCAGCGCTACGATTAAGATGAGCCCTTGCTACAAGTGAGAATCAGGGTGTCAGGGCAGGACAACATGGCAATACCTGAGATGCCTGCTGGCGAACTCGCGCAGCAAAGGCCCTTTGCTGCCGCAACCTGCAACCAGGATATTCCAGCCGCTCAGCAGCAAACACTTCCACCTCACGCCTAGCAGCTGCAGCTGCAGGAGCAAGGGCAGCAGCAGCAGCAACAGCAGCAGCACACGGCCTGTGAATGCGGGAAGTGCAGCAGAGTGGGTGTTCGTGCGCAGGTTTGGACTGAAGGGGGCGCAAGCAATGGAGTGTATCTGCGTGTTTGCATGCATGCCTCAGAATGCCAGTTCTGTTGCCTCACTTGCTCTTTCATCAGGCACTCCTTTATTAGGCCGTTCTGCTCAGGCAGATTCAAAACACTTTCTTGCAGCTGTCTTATCGGATGCAGTTCTGTGAAAACCAGCAGAAAGAAGACAAAATGCAGCCGTACATAAACACACACAAAGGCACATGCACGTAAAGCAGGAGGCAGCACTATGAGAATCGTGTAAGTGAGACTAAGACTATGCGAACAGAGACGGAAAGCGAGAGAGAGGTAAAGACAAGGCCGCACCTGAGTCTCCAAACATTTCGGAGTGATTAGCATCCGCATTCGTCTGATGTGGGGGTTCGCTGCTGTTGCAGGTCTTGTCTTGCCTCGCACGCGTTGCTTGCTCTGTTTTTGTGTCTGCTTGCGGTTTTCTGCAGCTTCCTCCTTCCTTGCCGTACATTTGCTGCCTCTTCTCTTCGATGATGAAGCTCAGCAGAGAGCTGGGCAGAGCCGAAGGACCCCCCGCTGTACTGACACTCGAACAGAACAGCAAATCGTACGCAGCTAGCAGCAACGGGTTGTCCTCATCATCTTCCTCCTGCAGAGGGGCCACAGAAGAAGCACCTCTAGCTGAGGCAGTTCTGAACAACACAGCAAACGCAATAACGCAGAGGTCCCCAAAACCTCACCTGCAGCTATGAAATACATATATATATACATGGATATATATATATATATGTAATCATCTATCTTTTATGCTGCACTGCGCTTATATCTAAGATACATATATAACGCATATAGATGCTCTATATACACCTTGCTAGGGATAATGCTATATAGTAGAAGGCGCAAACAGCAGGCACAGCTTGCGCGATGGGTGTTGAATTAACAACTAATGTTTTAAGTATTTAGATTTTGGGGTTTAGGGTTTATGGCATGCGTCTTTATTGAGGGCATCTAAGTAAGGTATCCCTGTACGAGTAGGGTGCGCAGCTGGAGCCCTTTACCTCTGATCACCCCTCTGGCCCTTTAAAGGAGAGCATGGAGTCTTGTCTTCCTCTGCTGCTTCTTCCCCGCTGCTGCTGCTGCTGCTGCTGCTGCTCTCCACCCCTAATTCGCAGCCTCGCGTTCGCTTCCTCTTCTGGCGTTTGCTGCGCGCCGCATGCAACATAT